CCAGTTGATAAAAATAAGATTACGAAACTATTCATTTATTCTCAACTTCGCGCATTTATCTTTTCGCGTCTTTTCCTCAGTACATCTTTGTCATATAAAAAAGAGATTACCCAAATCGTGCACACTTAACTCAGACACGGGTTGAGAAAATTTCTTAAGCTATTTGAAAAAAAAAAAATTCCTCTAACAACTCGCGTTCTTTACCTAAATTTAAAAAGAGTTAGGGCACTTTTCATAGGCTGCGCGGTGATGTACGTACTTCCGTTTTTTTGATGCCCCTCAAACCAAATTTTTTTACGTAAAAAAAAAAAAAATTAAGAAAATTGTCAAAGTTGCAAACGAAGTAAAACAGGGGAATATTTCCTCTTCCCACAGAACCCAATTTTGCGTTTTCCAAAGAAGGTGAACATATTAACTACTTTGTTCTTATATAGATAGCTGTGCGTACGTCATGGCAGTCTATTTTATGCCCTTCACCTCTCCTACTTTGTCACCTTTCAACATCGCCGGGGAATTTTCTCATTTTTTCCCCTATGCTGCATCATTTGGCAGTTTTTCTCGTAATGCAAAAAAGTGTAGTAGCCTATTATGTGCCACAAAAAAGGGGCAACAAACCTCCAAGCACTGTCAGACGGGTGCACCTTCACATGAAAGAAATTCACTTTGTAAAAAGAAATAAATATAAGCAAACCGTTAAACGCACAAAATTAAATGCGTCATGTGGCACGAGGGGACCCGATTAAACGTTCCAACCAGTCCTTTACGCGCTGGGTCCTGGGAGATGCAGAAGTCTCATTTCCTTGGAGCTATTTAGTGGTGGGTAAACAAAGTTAAATGGTGGTAAAATCTGTTAAGTCGGTGAAAATTGTGAAAACTTGTAAAATTCGTAAACTATACAGAAGAGGCATGAACGTTTAAAGGAGTATAAGCAATAGAAAAAATGAAGCATAAAGAATCAATGAGGGGAAAAATATAAACATCGAGAATGATTTATCACCACCTTTGTGCAGAAATAATGCGATTACATGATGTTTCATACACGCCCTAACAATAACGACTACAATCTACTATGGTAATGTACACGCTTCAAAAAAATGCATTAAATAAAAGAAAAGAAAAAAAAAAAAAAAAGAAATGTATGAATGAATGAATGAAGAAAAGAATAAATGGCGCATTCTTTTGGAAAATGTTCAACGTGGGCACAACTTTATATCTATATGTACATTTCATGCAGGTGAAAAAAAAAAAAAAAAAAAAAAACTACACAGCTGTTCAGTTAAAAATGGATACACACGGGCGTAGGAATATACAGCCGAGTGGGCACAACCAAACTGCTAACCGTCACAAATGTTCCGCAAACTACTCTCCTAGAATAGGTACAGGAACAGAAGCAACAAGATCAGGAAAATGAAAGTGTTAATGGAGTTAAAAATGCTGTAGGAGCAGTATATTCCATCTCCTTGAAAATTGTCCTTACATTCACACACAATTTTTTTGTCTATAAGAGTACACGTTGCGTTCACATCACAACCACCGTTGTTGTTGTTACAGTCAAGGGTATCATCCCTAACGCAGTTCATAACATTATCAATTTTGACGTCGCTAAATCCGGGTAAACATCTGCAGACCTCCTCTCCATCTATGACATAGCAGTTGGAGTTTAAAGGGCACTTTTTATGTTCACATACATTATTTTTCTGAAGGAAGTTAAGGGCGAATTGTTTCATGTGGCCACCTTTATGTGTAACTTGTACTGGGTATATCATCTTAGTCTTTTTGTCCACTTCGACTTTAAAAAATTTGGCGGAGGATTTCTTAAGTAATTGAATTATGTCTTCCTTCATTTTGCAATTTAAGTTCATTCCTGATTGTGCAGATTTAACCATTTTCTCCAAAGATCCGGATTCCAATCTGAAATTCAGGGACTCTATCATGTTCAAAAGTTCATCGATCAATTCCGATGTTTCGTGCATAATTATATAATTAACGAGTTCGAAATCGGCTAAATAATCATTTAAATCAAATGAATCGTCTATAATAAAATGTTCATTAATTTTGTCAAATAAATCTTCTATAAGACCCATCACAAAATCTTCAATACTCATATTCTTTTTTGCTATTGCCTTTTTAATTTTTTCCCTGGATTTACTTAATTTGGAGTCATCCACATTTGAGCATTTTTTAAAGAGGACTGGTAAATTTTTATTGTATTTATTTTCACAATCTCGGGAAATTTTTTCTCTGAACAATAAAACATTCTTTAACATCTTCAAATCATATTCTCCAATGATTTTTCTTTTATTCGTTTCTCCATCATCTTCGTCAACTAATTTGACACTGTACTTATCCAAAATGTTGTAATCTCCATCCAGCAGTCCTTGAACATTTTCCATTTCCTCAACAATTTTGAGGATTTTCTTTAAAGATGCTTCATCCATTTTATTTGCATCCTCATCATTTTGGTTGGCATTGGCATCAGATGTGCCACTACCATTGTCAGCATTTTCTATGGAATTGTTCTCATTTGAACCGCTGTCATTTTCGTTTTTCTTGTCATTTCGATTTTCTTCGTCATCTGCATCACTATCATTTCTGGTGACATCCTCTCCATTTTTATCAAAAATGTTATCATTATTGTTGTCGTTCACGTTATTCTTGTTTCCTCCAATGAAAGGCGGTACATCATTGTCATTTCCGTTGCCTTTATTTCCATTGTTGCCGTTTACCCTGTCGTCATTATTGTTGGGTGGGCTGACGTTTTCTTCAGCTCCGCATGTATAGCTCAGCAATCCGAACAGGAAAAAAATTATTATTTGCGCATTTTTCCTCATTGTTTCTTCAGTTTTGAGGATACAAGGCGACAATGTAATGGGTTAAATGCAGTAGCGACTTTTACTTTAGAGGTAAAAACTGCAAATTTTTTTTTTTTTTTTTTGCTACTATATAGAATTCACGAGGGGCAGAGCGCAGCACGGTACATGTATAGAAGTTTGCATACAATAAAAATGTATGCAGTACTGCACAAAAAGGACCCAGTAGGCGCAGGTTGCCTCCTCCCCTGGGAAGTTTCAAAATGCGGAAAAGGTAAACCTTAAAAAATAGAAGAGAATACGTATGTAAAGTACATATATACTTATCTATATGTGTACCTATATATACGCAGCAGATGTAAAAATGAAAAATCACGTTCATTACGAAATTATGCAAAAAAAAAGAAAAAAAAATTCTTAAAGATTTTAATTATTTTTTATATTAAAAAAAAAAAGAAACATCATTTCAATCTAGAGAAAAGGAAACGTTTAGTTTGTCAACTCATTACTTATTTTTTTGTAAGAAATAAATAATTAATTGCCGCTTCTTCTTCACTGTGAAGGAGGAGTATAAGAAGAATATTGGCACCCGTAAAAATAAATCCACCTGGCGCTTAGAAAGCAAATGCAGAACGACTTTAAGGCTACCACGTAAAAAGTGCTTAAATAAATATGCATATACTTGTGGCGTGTTATCATAGGATAGATGTATTGCCATATAGGAACACCCCCTCCCATTTGTTTTTATGTGAATTTATCCTCATCCTCTTTTTTCTATTGCATATGCTACTCCCTACCCCACATGCAATGGAAAGAAAACATTTATTCCAAACATCAGCGTGGTGATACGAACGCATATTTATATCTTCTCATGTAACGCATTCATGACTAAACAATACTTTCATGGATATTCTAATATGCCATACACTGTACTGCACTGTTGCAAAGCCACGCTCGGGTTATTAATTTTACACCCCTTGACATATATGTTCATTTCTGCCTTCTGCGGTGCATCAAAAATTTCGTGCAACGTCACCACGGGGTTTCCAAAAATATGAAGGCAAGGCACAGTGGCAAAAACCAGTAATTTTTATCAATTTTGCTTTATATATCCCCGTTTTGTGTCGTTTTCTCCTACCCCTTTTTTTATATTATTTTTTCCCCTCTTTTTCTTCACAAGTTGGCGGCACGTTGCAATTTTATTTTTTCCGTCCCTGATTTGTTAAAATGAAGGGCGTGCCACAAACTGTAATGAGGAAAGGGCAATTACGTTTAAAATGCTTAATTGTGAACAGGCTACGAAAACACATAAATCAACAAATGTGAATTTTTCTTTTTTTTTTCTCGATGGAATAACGTTGTATGCTTCTGTGTGCCTTTTCACAGTCGTAACTTTAATAAAACTCTGAAAAGGAAGAAAAGGCAAAATGTTGTTAAAAATGGTTTACATTTACGAAAGAAAAGCTGACTCATATTTTTTCCTTTTAAAATGTTGCAGAATTAGGGTTACTCCAGAAAAAGCTATGAACAAATGACAGGTGAACATTTTTAAAGCGTATTTCTGCTACTGTTTATCACAACCCACTGACATATACGAAATGATGGAAGCAATATGCATGTAACCACTCTAAGATTAATCACAGAGACAGAAATATACACATGCATGAAGTGGTTCGTTTCCCCTCCCATTTTATCTCATTTACGAAAAAATTATAATTTTTTTTGTTTTTTTTTTCCCACAATCCTCAAGTTTTGTTAACCCTGCTTGGGTTAGAATGACACATTTAAAATGTCATTCTTGCATGTTGATAAGCCATGTATGGCTTCATTTGTCCATCTGCTTGTGTAACATACATAGGGTTTGAGTGCCGTGAAAAGGGAACCAACTGATTCGCCCCTTTTTCGGCACTATTACATCAGAACGGAAATTCATCAACTCGAAAGTGACCATTTTGAGTAGTGCTATCGCAGCAGAGGGAAAATCACAAACCTCCTGAGTAGTGCAGTACGGTTCTTATTTTTAACGCTGCAATGGTTCAACCGTTTAAACAAATCGTATTAGTACCCGTGCCTACCGCTTCTATGTCCGCGCCCACAAACTTCAAGCCTCAGGGAACCTCATTCGGGGCCCCCCACAAGTATAATAACCAAAGTGCAAATGCCCTTACGGGAAGCTGTGTTAAGTATATACGAGAAAAAGGGTGTAAATCACTCCATTACCTTAACCCCAACCCCTCCTCTAAGCTACAAAAGGTAGCATACTTCATTTTATACCCCTTCGGAAAATATATTTTTCCCCCTCAAAAAAAATGCACAGCTCAAAGTTGGTAAAACATAGCGCAATTTAAAGGCTACTATGTGATATAGGCAGCATTTGTACGTTGACCCGATCCACCTACCCTTGGCGCGCGTTTAATTTCGGGTCATATGCATGTTCAAGTGGGACCTCTCAAAACGTGCCGCTGCTCGTATGTGTACCCTCTTGGGAAATTTTTAAAACGGTTGAGAGAAATTTTAATTTTTCAGTTCTTACGGTGCACAGGGAAATGCTCATATGTGTAGGGATATGTCCATATGGGTAAGGATATCTGCAGCTCGAGTCGCGCCGAGACGCTTCCGCGTGTACGTTAAAGGCATACCCCCCGTTTTGCGACAAGAATAGGATTCCATTTATGCAGAGTAAGGTATGGCTCTTCCATTTGCTCGTCCCTCGAATTATTTGCAATCGCGTTTTAATTTTTTTTTAAGATAGCTCATCGGCAGGTGCAAAGCGGCGTAGGCTGACTTGCAGGTGTGCACACCTTTAAAGGAACACCTGAGTCAGACATAGATACCTTGAGAAGGTAAACATTGGGTAAATTGACTCGTGCAGAGTTCCTACCACGCTTGATATTTTAACGTCCCATCCATTTTATGCCTATGCCCCACCCTGAGAACATTCAAAAAGGAAAAAAAAAAAAAAAAAAAAAAGAAAAAACTATTATCAATGCCAGCACAATGAAGCGCTTCTTTACGGGACTTTCCCTGCTGCTCATTTTGTTGGCGAAAGGGAGCAGATGCAGCCAAGTTTCTTTCCAAGATAGTGAATACCCAATTTTCATTAGCAACATACTGATAAACAAGGTCTCGTTTAGGTTTCATAGAGATCGATATCATTACGAATTAGAAGCAAGTGAACACCTGAACGAAATTACCCTGAGTCCACTATTAAACATTTGGGAAAATTACATATATAAAAAGGCCGCCCCAGAAGACGAACTCTTTTTTAATGAAAACACATCAGAGTACTTAGACAATGAACAAAGTGTCGTCGTGGAAGAGGTGTACCTAAAAACATACCACATTTATGTTAACAAGGAAAAGGTGCATTTGACTGATTTACCTTACAAGATCCCCTTCTCAGGTGCCGGACAAAAGGAACTAGCCATTTGGTATGAAAGCCAAAAGACGTATAAAATTAAAATAAAAAATAATAACGATCATTCTAATTTCTACCTAAACGATGTCACTCTAAGTAGTCACCCATCCTCTACAAGTTTATTACTTGACAGAGAATTCAAAAGTTACATTTATTTTTATAGTACCAATGTTGCTCACAATGTTGAAAGGATAAACATTCAGGCGAGCTGCCGTAATAGCCAAATATACATAAACAATAATTTACTTAAAAAAGACACCTTTTTTTTCCCCTTGAATCAGAACACTTATAACAACGTCTTGGTGATAGAGTGTAGGCAGCATAGGCTACTCGAAAAAGAACAACTCGTCGAAAAAAAAAAAAATACCATTTCGGAAAATTTTATCAAACGAAAGTTTCAAGAAAGCGTATTGCATAGCAGACGAAAGGGAGAAAAACAAATTGGCTTCTTAGACCAATTGAAGGGGAAGTACGACAACCTGGTTGGCAATCCAAGTTCGCTCAAAAAAGACGATAAAAGTATATCTATGTATCTATCCGACTGGCGCAGAAGGGTAAAGGCCATTTTGGGTGAGTCAAATTATAACCCCCTTGAAAAAAAAAAACATATGATTAACAAAATTTTCAGAAAATTCTACTTTTTTAATATCTATTATCATGTCCATATAGATGTACCGAATTATATGTACAACCTCTCGGATGGAAATGTGTGCCCTTTTGATCCAAGAGAGGGCGTGGCGCCCATCGGGGAATACCTCTGCAGTAACTTTCACAAAAACATCTCCTTCTACGCAGATATGAGTAACAAATTATTTGCCTTCATAAAGGTAGACAGCCAAAAATCGACACACAGATTTATTGACAAAGTTTTAAATGCACCTATATACCACTCAGAAAATGTATATCTCTTTCTAGAAACGTATTACGATAAGAAGGTCGTAAAAATTAAGTTTGAAAAGCGGACCTCCTTCTTTTCCTTGTTAATGCTGCTGGTCCTAGCTCTCGTGGCTATTTTCGCATGTGTTTTGGCCCTTTTTTGGCGCAAAATTTGTCACTGTACAAAGGGAAGCCATCACGCAGGTTGAAAAGTGTGGCTCCACGGATCCTTTATGCCTTTTTCCAGCTGTCAATTCGTACTTTATCGGACATTTCGGCTACATTTCCCCTGTGTACGTGGTGCATTCCTGCTTACGAACCCACGCCACATTATCGAAAAAATGATACTTTCCCTCGAAATTGTTCACTGTCTATTTTAGACCTCCGCGCGAACTCCCCTCTGAGGAGTTAGGGGCCCTTTTCAAATGTTTCCAAAAAGCTCTGAAAAAGGGAGAGAAACATATGACACATGCTAATTAAGCGCAGTACACATTACTCATTCGCAATCGAGCAATCGCGCGATGTTGTCACTCTTTCACGCTCTCCCATTTTACATTTATGCAATCGTGCAGCTTGTTAATCCTGTTCGCCAGACAAATTTTCTCCTTCTTCGTTTTTATGTCTTCACAAATGGAGTGTATAAAATCTAGTGATTTTTCCACTTCCCGTTTCTGCGAGGAGGCAATGCCCACGTGCACGAGTATGTGTCATGAGTCACTGCCCGGTTGGGTTTGCACGCAGGGAACGTTATCTACTCTACTGCATGTTTTGTGTCTACATCTTAGCGCCCTCCTTCCCCAACGTCCACGCGTTGGCATACTCCTGTTATACAAAAACTTATCACAGTTCGTGCTTACAAAAAGAACTTTTTTCCGTTCAACTTCCTCAAAATAACTGTTTTTCTCATTTTTAATTTTTGTAATGATCTCATTCTGGGTTTTTATGAGCACGTCGGCTGTCTGCAATCGGGGAACGGGATCGCACACGGAGATCCGAATGAACGTACGTGCAGATGGTCGTGAAGATTGGCGTGCACATGCCAGCGCAGGTGGCCACGGTCGCGTGATCACATCTGCAGGACTTCGCCAAACGTGTGGATCTTATTCGGCGCAGACGACTTGACTTACATATAACTTCTGTTCAGTGTCTAAAAAGGCCTTCAGAAAAAAATTTAACTTTTCATTTTTCTCCTCCTTTGTGTTCTGAGGGAGAAATCAAAAAGAGGGGCAGGCAGTTTACTAATTTTATGTCACATCAAGTGTCTCATTCTCACTTTTATGATCCAGTGTGCACAGCTTGTTCACCTCGTTATTTGCCAGAAGGTTGACCACGCCACTCTCCATCGAGTCAGCAAATTTTCCGATTGAACGTGAAGAAGAAGCCCCGTCTTTCCTAATCGACTCATTCAATTTTTTAATTTTTTCTTTTAATAAATTATTTTCATTATACAATTTTTTTATATAATCAGCATTTTTTACAATCTGCTCATTGGCATTATTTTCCTTCTGGTTGGTACTCTCCCTTTTTGATATTCTGCTCTTCAGATTTTCTATAACTTTTAGCTTATCCAAATGGTCGTTTTTGTACTTTGACAGTTGATCCTCCAGTTCTGACACTGTGTTTTTTTTTTCTCTTATCTCATTTTGTAAGACCCGTATAGTGTTGTCTCTTTCGCTTATCATATGTTTGCACACGTCGTTCTGTTTCATAAGATTGTGTATCTCACTGTTGGAGTCTCTCCCTTGTGCTGTGTTTTTCTTTCCTCTTTTCTTCAACCTCACATTAACAATTTTGCTCAAATTCAAGTAGTACACATTTTTATAGAATTCCCCATCGTGTGTCAACTCGGTGATGAAAAAGGTAAAATAAGTTTTCGTGTTTTCAAATATAAGTCTAATGAGCAGTTCGAAAAGATGCATGTGGAAGATGATGTCCTTTTTTTTATGCTTCCTAAATGCAGTTATTACCCCTGTGGGTTCTGTTTCTTCCTTCGTTCCAGTTTTCTCAGAGAGCTCGTCCTCTTTTGGGCCTCCACCCACTTGGGGGGTAATAATAGTAGTAGTACTCCCACGTTGGTGACACACTTCGCTCGGGCCTTCGCCATTTATACTTCTTTGCTTATCCCCCGATGGGCTCTCATCCTTTATGCTCCCCAGCGTAATGTTGGCTCTTTTTACACCTCGCACCCCTTCACTCTGACTCACAAAATGAACCATTTTCTTCTTCAATTTGAGGGCCCTCTGACACCCCTTCGCGTTATTAAAGGGAAACACAAAACTGGAGTAATCACTAACACCTCTCACTGATTGTAAAATCTTTTTATTGAACAAAAATAGCAGAGACTTTTCATTATTAATGTTGTGGAAAATTTTATCTTTTTGAATGTGGCAAAGGGGGAAATTAACTAAGTACACACAACTGTCCTGCACGTCCATTCTAATTTTGTATTTAAAAACAAAGCACACATTAGTGATTCCCTTCTTTGATCGACCAAAAATTTTTCTGCACTTCTTTATTATACGCTTAAGGCATATGGTTAAATGTTCGCCATTTTGTATTGTCCTTTTTATGGGCAATTCCTTGCAGCACTGGAGATTCCCAAAATTGGGGTTGTCAAAAGATTCTTTTATAAAACATCTGTGGCAAAAGGGGGGCATCATCCTACCGCCTTTCCTTCCACTTGTGCGATTTTTATGCTCACTACATCTTTTTTTTAGCATATCGATTATTTTACAGTTTTTGTAAGTCCATGACGAAATTGATATTTTCATATCTGCAAGAGGGAAAAAATTTAGGTATTGCCTTAAACGGGTGCGTCAAAAAAGAGGGAGGGGAAAAAATAACCTTCATTTTTGTGAAGCGAATTTGTAAAAATAAATCCCTTTTTTTATTGCAGCTTCACCTTCTTCACTATTCATCCTAACAATCCAATCGTATATATCCAAAATGAGTCCTTTTTTTCTTTTTAAGCATTCCTCAAAATTGGCGCCTTGCATGTAGTCCTTCCGTCTTCTCTTCGCGTGACAACATGGGTCAAGGTAACCTATGTGCGATTCGTTCTTTTTCATTTTCTCCTTCCTTATCTTTATTTCTCCCTCCGATGTTGTTACTTCGCTTTTTTCGCTAGTAACACCACTGGGCGTTTCTTCCTTTTCCAACACATCTCCGCTGTCTACAAATGGTAACCTTTTGAGTTTTTTTTTCTCTCTGCTTGGCATAAAGGCATTGCCATGCGTTCCTTTACGTGGCAGCATGTGTATACGCATAGATGAAGACCGGCGCAGTATCGCAACGCCTATGCAGTTGATTACCCCTTAGGTATTTACTATACAGGTGTCCATAGAAAAAGACATTTTTCTCCCCCTTGTTCGTGTCTACCCCTTAGAAAAATTAAAGCCGCACATTTCAAATGAAAAGTCACCGAGAGGGTAAAAAAAAAAAGAAAAAAAAAAGAAAAAAACGTACGCATCGTCTCATGCACATATAAAGGCATAGCTCCATGAAGAAAATAGTCTACTAAAGGAGGAAGCTTAAAAAGAGCATTTGCTTGCATAATTGCAGTCCGTTCTGGAGGGCTACTTCAAAATACATCTGTATGCAGTGCGAGTGACGCACTTTTCTACAGTTCCAGTTGGGCACCTATTTAGATACCAAAGTGAACACCTCCTATCCACCATCACAAGTTAGTAGTCTTACCTGTATTTATGATCGTCGTGCTCTGGCCATTTCTCACATTACGGAGTATTCTGTTGAGAAGTTTGTTATAAGTACCCGAATTTTTAGCGCAACAACTTTTTCGACGCACAAATTGGTGCGAACCATTTTGAGAGGAATTTTCAGTCTTATGTTCGTCCGTAACTTCGCCACGTTGAACAGTGGCTTCATCGAGCTGGCTTCTTTTTTCAAGCTGCACCCCCTTGGTCCTCCCTTTGCGCTTATCCTTCGTCTTATTTAGCAGGTAACTTATGTTCCATTTTTTTTTTACTAAATTATTTTTCGTTTTACAGTTGTACAAAACGTACTTGACCACTACCCCCCTTCTGAACTTCCTTTTCGTCGGGATGAGTCTCTTTACGACATCTTTCTTAACCTTTGCTTCGTTTCCTGTTTTGCAAATGTATAAAAAAATGTCTATTTTGTGGCCCATCTTTTATTTTATTTTTTTTTTCCATCCCCTTGGGTGCACTCTTCAAGGTTGTGTTTATTTGGTTAACTTGATCGAAGGGGGACGAAAATAAAATGTATGGACGCTCCAAAAGGAGGTTTCAAAAAGTGATAAAAAAAAGGTTCCATAATTTTACTAAAAAATAGGAAATTTTGCACATAATGTGGTGAAGATGCATAGAGTTCGCCTACCCCTGTGCCATTTGGCCAGTCACACACGAGGGAAATAAGCGAAAAAGGCACCTGACGTGTACACATGCATGTATGCGCATATAAGTATATGTTTTTTTCCCCTGTGGTGACTAAAGCGCGATATGCCTTCACTGCGGAACCGAAGAGGCAAAACTAAAAACGGGAAAGAGGTCACAAACGGGGAAATGAAGCAATTTTCTTTTCACAAATAAACACATGCGCATATGTATACGTTCCTCTATGCGCGTATTTTTTCCCCTTTTTGGAACTACCCGAATGTATCTACGGCATTTGCCCCTATGTACATCCCTTCTCATTCCTCCGCGCAGAATTATTTTTCTCCCATTTAGGTTCCAATTTTTAGGCCTGCTCTGGACCCAAGAATAGACAAATAAATTATTTCAAAATCTTACGTGGATAACTTCATATAATGCTTAGAAGAGTTAGCAAAAGGGACAAAAAAAAAAAAAAAAAAAAAACTTTTAAATGTCACAAGTCCCAAAATAAAAAAAAAAAGAACACTTGCCGATTACTCAGCGTAGTAGGGAGTAATGACTGCCCTTCATTTTATGCCAAAAATTTCACCCATAAATAATCTCTGCTCATCATTATAGTCAGACAAAAAAGCGAACACGTCATTTTTCTTTTTATCCACTATCTCTTTCAAACAAATATTCTTATTATGTAACGAAAAAACAAATTTGTAAAACTGACCCGCGTCAAAATTGTCAAGCAAAAATAACCCTCGTCTCTTCAGGCACTCAAAAAAATGCTTGTTTTCAAAATTATATTTGTAAAAAATGTAACATAGAGACGACAACGTGAATGTGTCTTCCACTCTGTTCAAATTTGACAAAATTTTCTGATAAAAAATGTCACATATTCTTGTGTCACTTAATTCTAAATTGTGGAAACAACTCAGGATGTTGTTGACATCTCGTACGTTCAGTTCGTACATAACATTTGGCAAGTAATTCATCATTTTTTTAAAAAAATCGTTATAGTTATTTTTTTTCAATCTCGCACTTAAAATGTTTAAAATGATCACAAAGGAAACTCCGTTCATCTCTGGAATTTGGCCCTCAATATGTTTCACGCTTGACACGTAAACGCCTACAGGGAGAAAGCAAAACCAAATTACGTAACATAAAATTGACTGAAATAAGGACGGACAATGGTGCAGCCATTATACACACGGGCAAGGCTCACTTAGCATCACTAACATGTTAGGCACATTCGTCTACGCACTTTCTCCGCACAAAACTCACCTGTGTCCTTGTTGTACAGATGAAAGGACTGAAGAATTAGGGAAAAATCGTTAGGGCGAAGCAGGTGGAGACTTTTTTTAACCCGCATGCTGTATATCTGCCAAAAGGACAATTTCTTCGCCATTTGGGGGTTCCTACCCCTGGAAGGGCCATTTTGTACAGCATCGGCATTGTTGTACATTAAATGATTATTATCCGCAGCACTGTTATGGTCCTCTTCCACGTCATCCTCTAACTCTCTCGCCTTCTTCTCCTCGCCACTTATATATTTTTTTATTTTCAAATTTGCATACCCTTCGTTACCGTTATCACTTGATGAGGAAATTCCGTTTATAAGCTCCACTGCTGTGTCCCTTAACTTGTTAACGTCCCCAAAGAGTAAAACATTTTCATACTTATGATTTATTTTTTTTAAAACAAAATATTTATCCTTAAAAGCGCTGTCGCTACTTCCGCTGTAAATAGGCATGCAGAGCCGTCTTCCGACTCCTCCACCTAGTTGTTGCCAACTAAACCGGATCATGCTTCTACAGTGAAGGGGCGATTTATCGGTAAGTCTCAAAAGGGGTAAGTACACATGGCGGTGAAACACTGGTTGAGCGGGTGATGATCTACTTAAGCCGCATAATTAAATAACGGATATTTTAATCATTTCCCATTTTGCTTTAACACCTACATGCTTTGCCCGTGTAGAGGTGCACTGTCACTACTTCAGATGTGCTCACGTAATGCAACCCTCCTTTTTTTGTTATGGCTCATATACTTTCTGGAGGGGAGTGTTTTCCCCCGCAAAAGATGGAAAACAATTTTACGATAGCATAAACGTGGAGAGTTTCTCCCCCTCGGCACATTTCCCAGTTTGTCAATTCGCAGGGAAAGAGAAAAAATATATCCTTTACAGAAGGGTACATAAACGAAGTCTGGCGCAACATTTGAAGCGCCAAGAAGGAGGCGAAAAAGAAGGTGAGTATTTAGGGGCTACTAATCAGGATCAGCCATAATTTCACATGTGCTAATGTACGTAACACCCGTGTATTTTTCAATCACGCGACACCGCTAAATTGTTGCACTAGTAAAAACGCAGCACCAAAAGTTATGTACCAGCAGGCACAAATTAGGAGCAGGAAAAGATCTAAAAAATTGCCACGTGAGCCAAGTGAAATGATGAATGACTAAGCTGATGGGCCAAACGGCGGGGGATCGAGGAGATAAAACAAACACTGAATTGAACCCCATCTGTCACACCCCATGCGGGAAGTAAACAGGCGCAAAAATGAGGTAACGCCTCCTCCCCAATTGGACCGAAAATAAAACGGAGAAGGCGAAGAAAGCAAAGAAAGATTCTACTACGCTGCTAACTGCTAATCCTAACGAAAAAATCGCCAAAGCAGAAAATGACAAAAACTGACTGGTAAAAGAAGCCCAAAGTAATGTCCCCCAAAATAAACAAGCTATCACATAAATATAACATAATTAAACACCCTGCTCGTCCTTACACATGAACGAATTTCCCCCCCTATGTAGCGCAAAAAAAAAAAAAAAGAAAGAAAGCACATTGATGCAGAAGAAACATGGAAAATACCCCAAGCAGTAACCCCTATTCCATTTTGAACGTAGAACCAAATTGCAACATAGAAACTGCGAAGAGGCAATTTAAAAAGTTGGCTATAATTTACCACCCGGATAAGCTGAAGTATCACCTAAATAAGCAACGCAAGAGGGTGGAGGGGGATGCAGAAAATGGGACCGATGGAAGCATTACTGTGGGAATTACCCCAATAAGAGATCAAAACGAAGGGGATAAGAAATCGGACAAAAATACCGCCAAGAGAGACCATATCGACTTCGTCACCCTGGTTTGGGCATATGAACAAATTTTGAGAGACATCCAACATGGCACCAAATCCGAAAAGTACGAAAACGCCCTGAACATCAAAAAGGTGGACCTGCAATATATTCGCGAGGAGAATGCGTACATTTATTTTTGTCGGTGCGGCGACTTTTTTCTATTCTCGGAAAATTTATATTGCGAATATTACGTCATCTATGCATGTCAGAGTTGTTCCTGCTCCGTTTATCTGACTCCCTAATCCGTTCACACGTACTAGAGGGAACGATATTTTATCTGAATAATATGAACACACTTAAATGCTGAAATGAAATCGCTTCGTCGAAAATGCGGAACCTGGGGGGAAGAATGGCCCCAATGTTATCATAATTTGGGATCCCCTCCCGTTTGATGTATGTCCAAGAGATAAATTATTTAATTTAACCCTTCAGCCCTTTTTTTGTAGATTAGCCCTTGCTGCTCCGCACTGTTTACCTAGTGAAAGGTGAAAATAGGCAAAACGGGAACCAGTCGAGGTACCCTCTTTTCTTAACCTTTTAACGATTCATCGCTGCTTATTACACCTAATAGTGGCTAGTTTGACATGGTGGGGAGATTTTTAATTTCATCCTATTCTTAGCCATCCCATGTCGTCCATTTTTTTTTTTTTGTCCATTTTGATCATCCGTCTGTGATTACGATGATTCCTTACACATTTGCAATTTTTAACCTTTTTAAAAGTCTAATTTAAAAAAAAAAAAAAAAAAGTCCAAAAGCAAAAACAATTCACACTATAACATGGTACATAACAAATTAAAAAAAAAAAAAGACAAATATTCGCATGTAATTTTGAATTAATAATTCGAGTCGACGCTTAAATTCTGCGCAATTTCTGTGGAAGCCTTCGTTACAATAGTGTGGGCTTCGTACCTGCGCCAACAAGGGAGGAAGGGGTAAAAAAAAGGGACATAAAAAGGAAATCTATACAAAACACATATTCAAAGAATTCGACGTAATTTGAAATAATTCCCCGTTGCCTGTTTTCACTCTTGTGCATAATGTCTGTAGCGGTATGCACATATGTATAAACGCATGACACAAAATTGTACTCACATTCGGTCCATGCATTTCGCTAAACAGATTTGCTCATTCTTCCCCATTTGCTCGGAAAATTTCTGACCGAAGCATTTCTCGAAGCACGTTTTTCGCACTTGCTAAGAGGAAAAAAAAAAAAAAGGCGCATTAAAAAAATTTTATTTCTTCCTGACTATACACGCGGAAAAACAAAAGACAAACTTGGCATATTATACACGCTTCTCCAAATTGGTTGGAGAAAAACCAAAATTTGCACTTTCATGTGGGGGAAAACGAAAATAAAGAATTACATTGTTCAGTATTTGATATATCATCATCCCCAGGGCGTTTTGGGCGTCTTCCATGCTTCGTTGGTTGTCCATTCTTCCTCTTTGTTTTGGTTTTAAAAATGGCTGATATGGAAAGGCAATATAAAAAAAAAAATACTTTTTTTAAGGCGAAAAAATATGCCCTAATTAAAGAACTTTTAAAGAGGGTTAAAAAATATATTCCTTAAAGTAGCGTTTTTCTTCATTATGCTTTCGAGGTGCCATGCTTGGGAAAGATTTCAACTGATAAAGGTTTTTTCTGCAAAAATGTGAAGCTTAGGTGGGGCGTGTATCTCTCTCGAGGGGGTAGGTGAGAAATGGCCTGCTCCAGTAGAACTAAATTTAACCTTCAACGGAGGCAAACATGTTTTCGCATGAAAGGAGTAATAGACTGAAAAATCAAAATGCTACTTGCAGAAAAAGCCCAGTCGTACAAACTGGGTCAAAACGCGGAGGTACAGGCGGGCCACGCTGCATTACACATAGGTATGTTCCCCACTTAAGTGTTCGATTTGTTGGGCTTATACATCCTCTGATTTAAAAAAAAATTTAATAAAAAGGCATTCCCAGGAGAATAAACAAAACGGCAACTACAAATATTAGCAGAAAAAAGAGGCTCATAAAAAAAAAGAAAAAGTGTCACCAAGAGAGGAATCAATAATTTGAATAAAAACACCTCATTAAGGAGATGAAAATTGAAAAAGAAAAATGGTGAGGCAGAAATGTGACACAGGATATCACGTTAGCGTCAAGTAAAATGCAAATGGCAATCTGAATAGAGCTTAAGAGGTAAAATAAAAAAAGAATAAACGAAAAGGTGTATTCCAGAATTGCAACATTCATATTTATTATGCTCGTTTGTTTTCATTTTGTTTTTTTCCCTCTTCAAGGTTTCTTCCTTATGCAATTTTACTACCTTTTTTTTATTTTTTTTTTTTATTTTTTCCCTTTTTCCCTACCTCCCCTTTCGTGTTAACTGTTAAATTCAAAGGCAAACTGTGAATATTTTTACTGCAAATGGGTAAGCAATAACTCATAGTTTGCGCTATTTGGCCATTCCTGGCGCGTTTACAAATGGGTAATTAGCATCTTTGAAGAAAGGCTACCAAGTAAATGTACCATCCAGTTTTCCCTGTTCATTTATTTACATTTTTTCGTCCATTTTACAAAATGACGTTCATGGTTCAAAATTGCAGAATTGTTGTGTAACCACACTTTTTTTTTCTTGTTTTTTTTGTGTGGGTTCATTTAATTTCTCCGCCCTTTACATGTCAGAAGAAATATCGTTCATTTATTAAAAAAGAAAATAATGCAAAGTAAATGTAAAAATAAAATATACAGCTTAGCAAGAAATGTGTATATATTTTTTTATGTAATAATCCACTTGAATTCTCTTCTCCTCTTGGGCGTTTCGACAGTTGTAAGTTTGTCCATGTGGGCGGACAGTTATATATGTACGTGCATTATGTATATATGTGCCTGCCCCCCCAGAGAGTGATCTATAAGCACGACAATAGAAGACCGACCCATAATAACCCACTGTGGCGCAAATAAATCTCAGTTATAACGGAACCAATTTAACCGTGTCTTCCTTTTTTTGTAGATTCACAAAAAAGATGAAAACAGAATAAACTTTCAGAAGTATTTTTACGGTATGAAAACAAAAGGGAAAAAGTGAATTATAGCAGAAAAAAAAAAATAAAAATACCAGGTGTAAACACAAATGGCTGTCTGTTTATTCAATTTTTTTTTTTTCTCCTCCACCTTTAACAGTCAAGCCGCTAATCAAAAAAAGTCACATATTTAAAAATTGCGCATTGAATAAAAAGTTACATGGAACAAAATTTTGCCTGTTCACGAAAAAAAGACATAAGGAAGCGTTAGCCGTAAGTAAGAATTCCTGCCCTTGGATAGTGCCACATCGTGGGGCCCTGTCTCGCAATGTAGATTATTCCCAAGTGGTGAATTTATCAGCTAATGCATTTTTTCGTCTCATCGAGATGATGTGAGCTCCTTGCAAATGAGTTTATCCCTTCTTCTTGTGCCCACCTTATACAGCTCCGGAAATATCGAATGACTGGACCTTCGACAGCCAGGAGGCACCACGGATTAGATGGCAGAAAGCGAATAAACAAAGTCACCATGCTGCCCCATAAAGAAATAAAGCTCCCCGTAAGGAGGTAACAAAACCAAAAATTTTAACAAAAAGAAGTTCGCAAAAAGGCTCACTTTAAATAACTTCAACATTTTTTAAGTAATTCAAAGACCCATTCGAGTTTTTTTCCTTTTTTCCCTTTTTTCCCTATTGTCCTGCCTGCTAAATTTCCCCACATGAAACACAAAGATGCATGATATTGGGAAAAATGGACAACTGGAATGCTCGTAAAATCTCCAAGTCAGGTGTCAAAACGCACAGAAAACAGAGAGTAAATTTACTAAGGAAGCGAATTTACTTCGAAGAAGAAGATCGATTTGTAAAACTAAGAGTCAGTGCAAGAGGATTGAAGACTATAAAAAAATATGGATTGGGTTACTGCTGTAAAAAATTTAACTTAGACTTAAGCAAGAAGAAATATGATGCTGGTCGTTCGCCCAGACGGAAGAAAAAGAAAACTGACGCATTGGCTTCCGCACAAAATGACGCATTAAATGACAGAGCACCCCAGGTGCATGAAGATGCGAATGAAATTTTGAAAAATCTCAATTTAGACAAGAAGAATAAGTAACAAATCGTGGCCACGAAATTGGTTCCGTTGATCGAATCGGTAGAAATAGTTATTCCGTAAGAGGCAACGGGAATTTAATGGCCCCCCTTTTTTGAGAACAAAAAAAAATTGGAACAAATAGGGGGGGGTTTACAAACAGAAGAGGATAGCTATTTGAGCCCCATTTGATAAATCAGTTTAAGGGTGGATTACAGAAATGTGCCTACCAAATTGGACAATGATTTAATTCAAAATCGGGGCATTTTGGGTAAGAATCAAAATGGTCGACACGAGCGAATTAAAAATTAACATACGAGGAGGATCCACATATGCGTACTTGAAGTCATATGTGCGTTTTACTGGGATGGGCAAAAAGACGCTGGTGCGTTTGCACTACCCACTCAAAAAAAAAACAAATGTTAGTTATGGCCACAACTATGCTAACAAGCAACATTAAAGAGGGAGGACAAACAGATATCACGACCTGCTGCAGTCGTTCTTATCGAACTGAACAAATCCCGTTTGGCATTAAAAAGAAGAAAAAAATTATTAACTGGAGTGTGTGTACCAATGGGCATGTACATACATACGTACACGACAGTACATATATTTCCTTGTGTATGCACGGCGAAGAACAGACGCCGTACCTCTACCTCTAGGTTACCCTCTCCGCGAGTTGGGTCGGCCTATACCACAGATGCTCAGTCTTCCTTAAAGTGCTACACAAATACACCTTTACAGGTACATGCAACTTTTCCCGAACTTGTTTTATCAAATTTTTCATGTGCATCTTCTCCTCCTCTAAACTCATATTCTTTTTTGTCAGTGCAAATAACGATGAGCCGCTTCCACTCATCGTTACAGCATCGAAAATGTTTTGATTCAGTAGAAGGTCCTTCAAATATTTCACCTTCTTAAGCAAAACAAACGCAGAGTCTTCCAGGTCGTTTATAAAACTATTCCTTAGAGATGTCCCGTCCAGCGGTACGAATCGCCTCAAATAACTGCGCTCCGCTTCTTCCACGTCCTTGACGATATTACACCTCTCCGCGTCAACTATGAACTGTTGTAACAAACTCACAGGGTTATATTGCACTATCTGGTCATAATCAACATTTTGATAGACCATCCTAGAGGAGAGTCCCTCGCTGATTTGAAAAATATATATTCTGCGCCCCGAAATCATTGCCTGGGCATCACTTAAATCGATGACATGATTGCCCTTGCCAGTACAGTAGGCAAAACCGGAGCTGCCAAAAAAGGATATGTCGCTGCCTATTTTTTTTAAAAATTCGTTCCTTAACTGATTCGATTTTAAGTATTTATAGTAATATTTTTCCAAGAAATAAAAAACGGAAGCTCCATTAGACGACCCTCCTCCTATTCCACTAAAAATGGGAGTGCGTTTCACCACATGAATTAAAAATTTGACATTGTCCCGTATCTGTAGTTCTTCCCTGTATCGTCTCAACACCTTTGCAATTATGTTATTGTCATTTAGGGGGTAATGGTTGTAATAATACCTCGTGTCTTCGTCTTTCCCTCCTGGATTCATCTCCTCATTTTTGTTCCTCACCTCGTACTCTTCATCCTTCTTTATGGTTAAGAAATCACCAGACTCGCATGGAAATAGCAGCTCTGTTAACTTCCTTTGGTCCTCCTTACTCAAAGAAGTTACAAAAATATCATCGCCTAAATTTATCGCATGCATCAGAGTGGATAATTCATTGTGGGTCTCCTTTTTTTCCTTTAATCTTAAAAATAAATTAACTTTTGCTGGGGAAAAAAATTTGAAGTCGTACCACTTGGTTCTATTCAGTTGACGAATTATTAACTTCATTTTTTTATTGCTCACGATGTTTCCCCTTTGGAATGCATCATCATCATATTGGTTACTATTTCTACCAGATCTGACGTGCGTTATCTGCCTCTTCTTGCTGCACTTGGCACGGTTGCACAATTTGGCAGGCGACCATACCCTCCTTAGAGCATATTTATCACTAGCGACATTGTTACATGTAGTGGAAAGAAGGAAATGCAAACACACCCCTCTCAACTGGTGGTACTTTTTTCTCACAAATTGGCTTTGATCAGTGAAAACATTTTTTGAGTCTACAATTGTATGAAGCAAATACACGCATACAAGTAGGACCCCTTTCACTTTGAAACAATATTTCATATTCCAGTACGTTCCATAGATGCGTTACTCTCCATGCAGGGCATTGCTTCGCTCTTCTTTGCCACTGCAAAAAAAAAAATTGATAACCTCTTATACGTTCGATTTCTCGCGTAGAATTTTCTTAGTCACTATGCGTTATTGGCATTTTCGGTCGCCTTCCTAGGCTCATCATGGTGTGCTCGCATATGCAAGCATATAATTCGTGTACATTCCTGTTTATTTTTTTTTTTTTTTTTGGACGATGTTTCAAAAATGGTTTCGTTAACACCTTTTCATTTTTCAATTCTTCGCTGTCACTTGGGTGGCAGGGGGAGGGGGGGCTACCTTACCGGATTCAATATGGCACATAGGTATTCCTTTTTAAGCGCCATTAAGAGTTCTTTTTTTTTTTAATCGCATATGTGCATGATCATAAGCGTGTGAACACATGGGAAAATGCGTAAGGGACATGACTGATGACACCTATTAGCCTTGCCTATGATGGATGCGCGAATGCTATGTTGAATTGGAGTGTCATATACGCAAGTGCTAAATGTCCTAGTTTTTATCGTTAAGCGGTGATCTTTTCACTTTCACGGGGGAACTCTCATTACTTTTGGGGGAGTAACTTTTTAAATTTTTTCTAGAATTCGGATCGTATACACCGTCTGAATAGCTTCCAATTTGTCTTCCTTTAGAATCGAAAAGGACTTCAATGACGCCACTTGGGAGGATACATGAAAATCTCAAAAAAAGGGCAACTCATTCTGCTACAGGTGTGGAATTTTTTATTGCATTATTTCGTGAAATGACTACCTCTTAGCATTCCCCTATTGTTTTTCCATTGTGAAACATCAAATTTGTTTTGCCCTTTGGGCATAAATGTTGTAACCTCAATTTTGTGAGGGAGTACCTGCCCATGGTATGTATACCTTGGCAGGGAAAACTGCCTCGGCTGAGGTCTACATTAGCTCTAAAGCGCTTGAAATGTATGCGCTGCGCACGCTTGTATGCTATTGTGTATGCTTTCATGTATGCTTTCGTGTGTGTTTTCGTGTGTGTTTTCGTGTGTATTCTGATGTGTACTCTCGTCTGTAAACTCGTTTGTCCCTTTTTTTTTAAAAATAATTTGCGTGCTTGTTAAGAAAAAAGAACGCTTGTGTCTTTTCCCCGCCTTCTTGAAGATATGCAAAACGGTACATTGTTTTTTCTTTTTCGTTTTTTTTTTTTTTTTTCATCCCGGGGGTTTAACTTAAACGCGCGTGAGGAACTTTTGTCCACGTGAAAATCACTTCTTAATTATGTGCTTCACCTTTTTTGCAAAATAAAAAAATTACAATTTAAAGTTTGCAGCCCCGTACATATGGCATGCGTGGCGTACCTTTCACTGTCAATTTTACCTGGCTTTTATTTTTCAACACTCTGGCTTTCTTCTCAACAACCATTCAAATACAAGAAAACTCAGGCACACTGCATGTATTTAAACATACATTTTGCGCCTGTTAGTTTACATCAACACGTGTATCTCCCCACTGCCACGAAATGGGCCTGGGGGGTAACACGATGGCACTGCTCTTCCCTTTTCTTAAGTGACACAGATTTTATGCCACTGAAAGAGGAAACAAAAGGAAAGTCAGTCCGCCATCCCTCCTGGCTGTAAATAGCACTGACAACTTGGATGCACGTTAGTGCCATCACAAATCAGCAATGTTTGAAAATGTTGCACGTTTGAGAAAGTTCGACGCTTGAACGTGTTCGACGTTCGAAAATATTTGTTCTTTGAAACTGCATCGCGTTTGAAATTGCCCCCATCCGAAACTGGCCCCATTTGAAATTGCCCCCATACGAAACTGCCCCCATTTGAGACTACTCCAATTTAAAGCTGCTTCATATTTTCCCCCTTTTTAAACGGGCCCACTGTGGCCCCGCTACCATTTGCAATGCATCATCGCTCTAGACAGTTGCATGATCAACAACACAGGGTCTCACAACCACATGCGCATTAAAGTGCCATGGCAACATTTTGAATTCCTCCCCAATTATGAGCAATTACGGGGAAGGTAAATCATGTCTGCATGCTTTTTTTTTTCCCCTTGAGGAGATACTCATACAAATCGCTACACACATGTGCGTACGCGTATATGGCCTTATTAACTCCGTACAAGTCTTTTTTTTTTTTTTAATAAGTCCCCTTTGGCTCTATTAACATGTTTATATCTTACCCACGCCCAAAATTTATTCTTTCCTTTTTTAATTAACCAATCCATTCGTTTTTACCACCCTGCACAAATCGCTATAGCCCTATACACTTCCCTACACGCACAAAATGAAAGCCTCCAATTATAATTCCCCAAATTGGAGCAAGAACAAGGAGGAGGAAAACAAAAACAGAGCCAAGAGCGGTGCCAAATTGAACGATGCAAAGGAAAAGGGACATAAAAAGATTACCACTTTGGTGCAAATGCGCAAAGAGGACACAAACACGAAAGAAACAAATAAAAAAAAGATAAACCCAAATGGAATAACGAAACGTGAAGGTAATTCCATAGACGCCACCAAAGTAGAACAAAATATAATAAAAATTGAAAAATCGATGAACAAATTAGAAGAGATAGAAAAAAAAATCAGCAATGATATTAACGAATGTAACAAGTACATTGAATTTTATGAAAAAGCGAAGACCCTTTTAGACTCCAAAGATTTTGACAGTGATGTAGGGAGGGAAGCAGAAATTGAAGAAATCAAAAAAATACTTAAAAGGTGCTCCAAAAATGTGGATGGCGAAGGCATATTTCTGACGGGCCCCAGTGGTCAGGGAAAAACATACAGCATATTCTACATCATTAAGGAGATTGAAAAAGAGAAAGAAATGAACCAGAACGCGGAGGACAAAAAGAAGAAGAAAGAAAATACACCAATGGAGAATTATAAAAATATCGACGCGTCCTACTTTTATGTTTCCTGCTCTAATAGCCAAAAACCATATGATATCTTTGTAGACATCTTACAACAGATAATAAAGAAGGACAAAAAGTCCATTCTCAGTAACGTGAAGCACAAGTACAACTTAAATGGCCTAGAAGAGGTGAAGAAGGTATTCATTAATTATACCAGCAAATTAAGAAATTTAAAAATCGTCATTGTGGACGAATTAGATTTCATTGCAACGAAAAATGTACGAGTCGAATTAAAGACAAAAAATGTCAACAAGAACTTCAATGAAGACGTAGTCAAAAATCTCTTCGAATGCGTCCAAACGACAAACAGTAAAATAATACTCGTGGGAATTGCCAATAGCCTGGATCTAATAAAAGACTACAGACACATGAAAATTAACCAAATTATTTACAAACCGTACAGTGAGAAGCAATTCATGAGCATAGTACGAAATAAGTTAAACACTTTGGAAGAAGAATTTGTCAGCAAAATTTTCAAAGGAGTGTCCCTAAATATACACGTTCGACAAATTTCTAACCGAAACGGGGACATCAGATCGTGCTTCGATGCGATCTTGAGAGTTTTCTCCGATAAAAAATCCGACCTCGATGAGAGAAAAAAGAATTTAACCAAATTGAAAGAAGAAGTTATGATGAATAAAATATTCAGTAGGCAGGAGAAGAGAAACCTCTTCCTCCTCCTAGCCGATCAGGAGGACGATCACTCGACGGACGCGCTTAACCGGAACGAAAACGAATACAACAAAACTGAACAACCCGACGTGGAGACACACCAAAAAGGGAAACGAAAGGCGACAAACGAAAAGGCAGACCATGAAAACGACACATACTGCGAGAACAGCCAAACACACAGAACAATTAAGAAGCAAAAGATACACGTAAAGAAGACCTCCAATTTGAAAAACCAATCCAGTTCCGACGAGCCAGAGGACGACTTTTTCCTGGAGCAGGATGTAACCCCTCTGCCAAACCTTCGTGACTTTGAGCTAGCCAACAATTTCAGCGATAAGGCAAGAAATCTAAAATTCACAGATCAGAAAAATGAATTTTCAATCGGATACGAAACGCTAAAGAAGGAGGTCATCAAAATACAAAACAACAACGAAACGTTAAGTGAAATTTTGATAAGAAAAAATTTTAACGCAAATGATAATGACTCTTTTTACGACTTCAGTCAGTGCACACCCAAGCGGTGTTATGAAAGCCCCTTCAAGGTGCTATATAAAAATGACATAGATAGCCAAGTGCCCCATTTTAAGGATAAAAAGGAAGTACTACAAAATATAAACATCGACAAATTGCAATCGTTTGATCTGATCGTTGACAATCAAATAAAAAGCATCGAAAAGAAGTACCACGATTTTGCTGATACGGCAAATAATAACGCTGTAATGATTTCGGACATAAAAAAAATTACAGACAAAATCCCATTAGAGGAACATAAAGATATACTTTTCAAAATTAAGAGCCTCCCTTTAATTCAAAAAATTTATCTCTACGCTTCATGCAATGTCGTGAATTATGCACATTTAAATTCGGACGATGAGGAAGATCAATGTCAAGAAAAGAAGCAGAGTCCAAACCAGTTCATCGAAATTACCTATGCCGATATACAACGAGGGTTTAGAAGCCTCTGCAGCAATCTTTCGGAGACCTCCTACATAAGGGACATTCTAGAGGGAAACACTATTGACCAGGCTATTGAACATTTTGAAGAACTTGGCATTCTAACTAATTGTAAAAAGAACCAAAAAATTAAAGAAAGAAAAAGCGTCATAAAAGTCCCTAAAGGTTTAACTCCCAGATTTGCAAACATGAAAAACAACAAAAATTTCTCATCGCAGAATAAGATGAACACTGTGTACTACTTCAACCTCCCCGTGTGTGTTATTAAGCAGACGCTCAAGGAAATCTCCTCCATACTTTCCAGCTTTGACGGCAGTTCCCAGTTCTGACAGGGGCAAGCAATTGTGGTGCACCTATACGAAGAGCCCACAGCATAGTGCTTGTCCCAAATGAACTGCATAACGTCACAAGAGAAGGTAATTTTCTCCTTCTTCTAACCACGCAGATTAAAGAGATTATACAGATTAAACATATTAAACACTACATGTCTGCATCACCAAATGACCACGTCACTTTCTCACACTTCTTGGATAATGCGCTGGACCGGAACTTCCACCCTGTACCTGTCGGTGGAAGCACGCGAGCTGGGTTCCTCCGCCAGAGGGGCAAGCTTCTCCCGCGAAATGGAGCCAACACACACAGACAAACCTATACATGTGCAAACGCGCAGTTTTTCCATTCTCTCCTCAGCTAGAACTCCCATCTTTAAACATTGTATCTTATGGAAAAAAACAGATTTAATTTTACTGGTTATTTTATTTTTTTTTCTTTTTTTGTTAATTTTTTTTAGTATAATTTTTTTTTTCTTACACACTTTTTACTTCTATTTTAATTTTTTCTTCCTATTCTTTTTTTTTTTTTTTTCTTTTCTTATTCTTATTTTATTTTTTTTGTTTGAGCACTTTTTAAGAGCCTTTTGAAACGTACATATATTGCACATTTCAAATAATGCAGCTTGGTACACAAGCGAAGGGCAGAAGTTTTCGGTTGGCAAATGTGTGCTTATGAGGAAGGATGATACATAGGGCGGGACTCGTCTAGTTGCCTAAATTTATCCACGCTGCGGAACCGTCGAAATAACAATGTAACCTTTTTCTTGTACCTCCGTCACCCTTTCCGATTTGAAAGTGTCAAAATGTGTGGATCGCTCTGATGAATCATTACAAACGGTTCGTCATTTATGTTTTATTATTATTATTTTTTTTTTTCTGTTCCCACATTTTTGCACTTATCGTTTCCAAGGGAGGTTCATACCACGTCTGTAACCACGCAATAAGACATGACCCCTTAGAATGAAGCTCCGCATAATGAAATGATAGTACACCGTAAGGTAGTCATTTCATTTGCTCCACAACTATTTTCGCTCTGATGAATTTGCCGCCGATTCGAATGTCGAGCTGAATGCAAAGGTCTACAACGTTGTACTCAAAGATATTAAGCTTAAAAGAAAAAGTTTAAAAGGTAAACTTCTTCAACGTGTATGTGAATTACGATACCAAGAAGGCCTGCCCCAACTTATCTGGGCCATCATGAATCTACACTTCGCACTAAATGGAAATACGCTTAAGGAATTGCTTTCCCATTTGTGCAATTATCCCAAAACGGAGGAAATGGCCAAGGGACCGATTAGCAAAATATACACACAATAAAAAGAGTTACCATTGGTAACATATCAATCGGATGGTACTTTCTACAGAGTTAGAAAATGTACATGAACGGGGAACCTAAACACGTGACGTCAACTAGGCCACTTCTTATACGCACTTCACACGTTGCCAATTTGGGACAAAAACATCTCATTTGTGAATAACTCACAGGGATTTAAAAATTGCATATCACTGGAGTAAGCAGATGAGGATTCTAAAACGAGTAAAAAGAATTTAATAAAAAAGCAATGCGAGGAGATCCATATCTGATGCTTCACATGATACTATAATGACATAGCAGCTTACAAAGGGCTATAGGAATGAGTGCATTAATTTCCTGTGAGGATGTTGTTACACCTTTTCAAAGGGGAGCATACAGCGTTTTGCGCTACGAATTGGCAATGCTTAAGTGCCTTAAATCTTTAAGTAAAAAAAAAGAAAAAAAACAGTTTTATGTAACTAGCTAAAATATAAATCTTCCATTGCTAAGCGGCATGGAGGAATCCTATCTGGTTGATCGTATAGAATGTTCATACGGTAAGTAGCTCAAACAAAAGTGTAGTCATTCGAATAGCATCTCTATGTGGAAAAGCAAAAATTCACAATGGAAAACGAACACTTAGAATAGATTAAAAGGACTTAACACATCACACGTCTTAAGAAATAGGGACACTGAATGACCTGTACTATATTATTACACCTTTTTTGAGGAGAAGACCAAATGGGGAATTGTATTACTTTCAGAGGAGGATTTTTTTTTCTTTAAAATGTAACAAAGTTCATTTTATTTCTCTCCTACAGTCATTCACATTATCAATTCCATTTTGAATGCAATTAAAAATGTGAAGTGTAAAATAACTGGATGAATAATTAATCCCCATTCTGTCATAATTCGAAAAGGGTATGAAGTTTGGCTGCGCAATAAATGAACGAAGGTAATATTCACTTCGTGAATTATCCGTCTACTTTGCAAAAATAGATTAAATCAAAATAAATCGAAGTAATTTTATATTGATCAGCTCCAAATGGAACAAATCTAACGCATCCGAAAATTTTTATTTCCATTATTATTACTCATATAACTTAAAAAGTTGCCATTCCAGTAATTTTAATTTCTTTTAAGTTTTGCATTTTTGAAACATGACAGAGCTGTATTGTATTAACCATTTTGTTTAATCGAACACTGAAATGCACAAGTGTGTTGCGCCTATAAAAAGTATAATAAAAAAACTTTAAGCTTTCCTGTTCCATTTACATCGAACTGAACGGTAAAAGTGACACAAAATGAAATGCATTTCCTCGTTTTATTCCGTAAAGATCGAGACATTTCGGGGATCATTATTGCATGAGCAATGTCAAATTAAATAGAACAAATCGTTTTAATGGAGAAAATTAACAAAATGGATTTTGCAAAAGGAAAGATTAACTTGTACCCAGAAAAAAAAAAAGAAAAAAAAAAGAAAAAAAAAAAGAACAATTCGCTTATTTTGTAATATGTTTTATATTTTATTTCCCTTTTTTGCGAAATGACAAGAGTGCACACAAATAAAAATTAATTACAATGTACATATCTTCACATTTAACAGAAAAAAAAAATAGAAATACTTAAATGAAACATTCGTATCAATGTGTTAGAAAAATTCTCCATTAGTATAACGTATTTTATTTATCTTGCATACTTTTTATTTTTATTTCTTTTTGTAACTATTTCCTTTTAGTACTTTCATTTATGTGATGTATCGTCTGGCTTTCTTTCCCCCAATGTGAAAATTCCGTATAACTTCAATTGGGTTTTTTTATTGCACAGTTATAATCGCTAAATTATGAGTAACCTTTTAAGCAAGCACTTGCAATTTTTTCTTTAAAACCATTTTAGTGATGACAAAAATTGATTGCAATTAGAGCATCGGAGTGTCACATGCCTTTAGTGAACTTCTTTACTTCCTGCCATCATTTTGAACTACTTTGATTTAGCATTACGCCAGATTTAAAATGAAGCAATTTGGTGGTATCCCTCTTCTTCTATTCTTCGTAAATTTATACATTCACCAAAATAATGTTGTGAGCAAGGAAATTGTTAATTTGAAAAATCCCAACTTGAGGAACAGCTGGGAAGGTAAAAACATCACCCTGCAGGATGAACAGAACTATCTAGACCCAGAAGACGGTGATGAAGTGAAGAGAAATAAAGATCAGAGCGAATTGTTACATAAATCAGAAGCACAGATGCAGACACAGGGACAAGATACGCCAAATACATCATCAATTGAGAAAGAAAATATACAAAAGCAAATTGAAAAAGCTAAAGAAGCAAAAGAAGAAGCTCTAAAGCAACAAAAAGAAGCAGAAGCTACTGTGAAAGAAATAGTAGAAGCATTAAATAAAGTAGAAGAAACAGAAGAAAAAATAAAAAATGGAGTGCAGAAAGCAAAAGAATTAGCAGAAAAAGCAACACAAGCAGCAATACAGAAGGCAACGGAAGCAAAAAAAGCAGTAGAGGAAGCAGAAAAAGTACAAACAAACAGTATGGCAAATTTCCTCGCAGGTAAAGCTGTAACGGCAAAAGATGGTGCAAAGGCAGCAAATGAAGAGGCTAAGGAAGCAGCTAAAATAGCAAAGCATGTTATAAATGCATATGAAGCGAAAAAGGGAGCAGAGAAAGCACAAAAATTAGCAGAAGCTGAAATGAAAAAAATAGTAGAAACACTAGATAAAATAGAAGAAGCAGAGGAAAAAATAAAAGATGCAGTGAAGAAAGCAAAAGAATTAGCAGAGAAAGCAACAAAAACAGCAATACAAAAGGCAACCATAGCAAAAAAAGCAGCAGAGGAAGTAGCAAAGGTAGAGACACCTTATATAACGAGTTTACACGCACGTTTTGCCACAATTGCAGAAAATGATGCAAAGTTAGCAAATGAAAAGGCTAAAAAGGCAGCTGAAATAGCAGAGCATATTGTAAATATATATGAAGCGAAAAAGCAAGCAGAGAAAGCACAAAAATTAGCAGAATCTGTAAATAGGGAAATTGTAGAATTATCAAAGAGATGTAAAAAAGAAAAGGTAACTGAAGCAAAACAATCTCCAACCGAACCAGAAAAATCTGCATCGCAGAAAGCAGAAACGGCAGAAATTAAAGTAGAAGAAATTGTAAAGGATGCACAGAATAAACAAAACAAAGCATCTACCCAATCACCAAGGAACGAGCAACCAAGGGACATCGTAAGTACTATGAAATCAATTGTAACTGCAGTAGAAAAGGCACAAGAAACAGCAGAAATAGCAAAAGCTATAGCGGCACACCTATTAGCACAAAAGGCATCAATAGAAGCACAATTGTTAAAAGAAGAGGCTCAAAAACTGGCAGAAAAGATAAAAAACTCAAACGTAACAGATGACAAAAAGACCCAAGCTAAAGAGGCTGCCGATAATGCGGCAAAGGAAGCAAAGACAGCAGAAGACATCGCAAACGGAGCAAAGACTACCGTGGAAAATGCAAAGAAGTGTGTAGGATTAGAAGAGAAAAAAAAAGAATCTGCTAGTGCAATGGACCAAGCAAAATTCGCTATGGAAGCAAGAGACAGGGCAGCCTTTGAATTATTGAAGATGAAGGAACAGGATGTACTAGAAGTAGTGCATATATCCTCCGATGGAAATGATAATCTAAAGGATGTGGATGATCCAGTAGATGAAGCCGTCCCAGAAGAGGAGAACGAAACGGAAGATTCGTCACCCGAGGAAGTTGAAGAAGGGGCCGAAGAGGAAGACTTGGAAGATGAAGAAGAGGAGGAAGAAGCAGAAGAACAGGAAAACGAAGAACCAAAAAAAGAAGAACAACCAGGACAATCACAGGCACAGCCAGGTGATGCCAGCTCAAAAGAAAAGGGCACAGCCAAAACACAGAAAAGCAAAGAAGTGTCAGATGACGAGGAGGCTCATAAATTACTTGCAGGGGAGCATAACACTGCTAACCAAATCAGTAAGGAAGAAAAGGCCCTCTTCAAAACTTCGATTGATGAGATCCCAGATGATGATATCCAACATTTAAAACAACATCTGGGTGATTATTTTAAAGGTATACAACTATGGTGAGAGGGAAATATTACCTCTCGTGAGTGATACATTCTAAATCCCTCATTGCTACAATCAGGTAGTGGTGGACGATGACATTTCCAATGGATTGCATAAAAATGTATATATACGTAACTAACATGTTTCAGAGCAAGAAAATTATTACTATCTGAACAATAGACCATTTTTTTTTTTTATCTTAAACTATGCACCGATTTGGAGAAAATTTGTTACGCTTTTAAGACTGCCCAGAAAGTTATTTAAATTTTGTGTACTTCTCCTGCATGGTGCCACATTTTGTGTGCAATGTTATGTAAAGAGTTAGTCACCTGTTAGGGGAATAAGCTTAAGAGGTCAGCTGTTTATAAGGTTACACACCCTTAGCAATGATTTAAGAATGTTATTATTCGTTAGTTCCTTTGCTCGTAATATTACATACGTTTATTTTAAAAAGGGAAATTATTGCAACGTTATGTTTTCAGCCCCGGTGATTGGTTCACAATTTCGCTGATTCATTTCTTTCTTTTATTTTTTTTTATTTTTTCCCGCTAGTATTAACGCTTTAAATAATTCTATTAAAAAAGACAATATTGCGACGGAGCAGTGTTAATTTTTTCTAAGCACTCGTACTCAGAAGAGACGCTTTTTCGAAAAGCGTTCCATCAAATTACACACGACAGGCGGTTTATGATGAGCTTCGGAATTCCTTTCATTTGAATTCACAAAGGAAAAATTACTTCCCTGTAAATGTCAGAAAGACGTTTAGCTAACCAACTTGCACGCCAAATGAACACTGTTAAGGAATTCATTCCTTTTCGGGAACGAGACACACCCATTTCGTCTATTAGCTATCTCAGATTATACACATCATAGCCAATTTAAATCTGAAGAGAATATATGAATAAGGTGAAATTTTACACATAGTGAATTTTCCCAAAAAGAGTCACAAAAAAATTGGGTAACTGAGGAGCTTCACTTCTTAGCCCCCTTAAGAATACAAAAAGTGTTCACATTTGACGTATATCTTTTTTTTGGCAGATTTATTCTCTGCTTTTTTGAAGTCCCTGTGGTCACTAGCATGCAATGTGCTGAGGATTTTTAAAAATAGCAAGGTGACATTATGACTTAGATTATTTTCTCCTTTTTTTTTTCTTCTAACATATGGCCATGAATTTTAGTGAAAAATACTTTCCTGTTTTCTTCCACCATGAATGACTGCCATTAACCAATTTGCACACAGGAAAAAAAAGGCCTATAATTTTTGCGCGCTTTGAAAGTACCTCAACAAACGTTTTATTTTGCGCAACAAGCGTCTTATTTTGCACAACACGCGTTTTATTTTGCGCGACAAGCGTCTTATTTTGCACAACACGCGTTTTATTTTGCGCGACAAGCGTCTTATTTTGCACAACACCCTTTTCATTTGGCGTAACACGCGTTTAATTTTGCATTACAGGCGTTCTATTTTGCGTAACACGCACCTTATTTCGCCAACGCGCACATATAAAATGAAGCAATTTTGTGGCTTAGCTTTTCTTCTTCTTTTAAATTTACTTACGCTTGATAATGTAGCTACGGGGGCCGAAATTGTAAACCTTAAGAACTCCAACTTGAGAAACGGATGATCAATGAAAAACGTGTCTGCACGAAATGAAGAAAATTTTGTCTACCAAGATGGCAGTGATGACATAACCAGGAAGGAAGAAGGTGGCGAAGAGCTAGAAGGAGAAAATGGATCTCCTAAGAAGTCAGATGAACCAAAAGTGCATGGATAGGAGGAGGAAACTAAAGAGACACTAACGACAGAAACAAAAAATGCCGAGACAGAAGCGAAAGAAGCAGCCAAAGTAGCTGACTCAGCAAAAAACAATACTTTGGATGCTCTTAAAAAAGTAAACATGCCAACAGAACTTTATAAAGCAAAAGAATTCACAGAATGTGCTGCGACCGAAGCAAAAAAGCAAGAGAACATAGCAACAGAAGCAGCAAAAGAAGAGAAGAAGCAAATGACGCAACCGCAGCAGATATAACAAGAGTAGAGGCTGACAGAGCAGTCGCCGCAGCGCAGAAGACGAAGGAGGCGCGAGAAAAAGGAACTTACGGGCTCCTGAAAATGAAGAATCAGCATGTACTATAGCTACTAGACTTATTGCCCGAGTCAGCGGATAATATTACGAGCAAGAAGGAACAAGTGAGGGAAGAAGTAGACGATCCGGGAAATGAGGATAACAAGGAAGCCGAGGTGAAAGAAGCATTACCGAAGGATTCTAATGGACAGGAAGAAGACGTAAACTTGGAGATGGACGATGGAGGAGAAGTGGAAGAAGCGCAAAATGACGCAGCGTCCAATCAACCAAAACGTGGCAACCGTGAAAAGAGAAACGTCATCGATGCTGTGGATGATACTAAAACAGAAAAGAAGTTTGGACATGAATTCAATTCTTACAATGACATTAAGAACGTAACAGAAAAGCTGGTAAAATCGATGACATCGTTAGTTTCAGAAGACCCCTCGGTTAGCGACTCCATAAAGGAGTTCCTTTCCCATATGAATCACCTATTTCTCAGTTGGTAAAAAGAAGTGGGAATTTTGTTTGCCCATCTCAGCGGAAATAGCATTAGTTTAGGAAGGACCTTCTAAGATACGACAAATTGGTGTGATACCACTTCTGCATTGCGTCATTGGAAGAATCGATAAGAGAGAGAAAAACAGCACATGATCCGATTATGCTCCCCCTCTTGGACGAATTACAGCATGAACAAAGGGGAAAAAATAATTCCCCTAAAACATACATACACATATTGCAAAACCCGGGGAACAACACAAAGGTGTACAGGAGAACATTTACACATAGCCTATTCAAGTAGCTAATTCGCATGTCGGTTGAGGGTATCCCAAAAGGTATATGGGAAAAGCTTGGAAAATATTAACCCGCTGTAGTGATATCGTATAATCTTTTTTTTTTTTTTTTTTTTTTGCTTAGCTTGGGCCGTTAAATAAAAGTGCATTTCACATGAATCATTGAAAGGCCCTTCAGATAAATATATTTATTACGCAATAAAGCCGATGAGCTTCCTTACGGGAGAAGCGCGAAGTTGTTCTCTTGCTTTCCGATGACCCGTTCTAGTCTGCGCCTTTCTCAGAGTGAAAATGGCACGAACAAGTGCAGGCGATCTGAGAGCAAAAAGGAATACATACATAAAAGTGTACGTAATATATATGAGTATATAACACGTGTGCATGAGGAGGTACGGCATATACACTTAAGTGGCATTAATAAAATTAATTTCATCAATTGATCCTTTTCTTAACGCACGGAGAATTTTTTTTTTTTTTTTTTTTATTTTTTTCTCTCAACGGTGTGTCATACTCTGTTTATCTCACTTAGCTAACTTACATATATGTATACTTTCCCCTTCGTGTGTAATCCTAAATTCTAGCAACCTTAAACTTTTACTTATCCGATAATATTAACCATCCCCTGCTGGGAAAAAAAAAAAATTAACTCCAAAGAATGGCCTTCCCATAGCCGGACCCTCTTAGGTTTTCCACTTTTTTAAATTGGTTAGAAATAGTTCCTTTCCATCATTTTAATGCACTGTTTGAGAATGAGGCAATTCTTTAGGATCTCCATTTTCATTTCCCTTTTAAATTTATATATGGAGAAAAATGGGACTGTATGCGGTGAAATTCAGAATGTGACCAAAACCAACTTGAGGAATGGAACACCAGAGGAAGGATCTCCCTCTGAATGTGATCTTCCAACAAGCGCGCAAGAAGAGAAAGGCGGGGAAAACATCAAAGACGTAATCAAGCAGACATCGGAAGAGACTACAAAATTTACGGATGAAGCAAAGGAGGCAAAAAATAAAGCGGCGCACGAATTTTTGAAGACAATGAATCAGGACATCGTGGAGCTTGTCGAAATATCATCACAGGATGGTGATATTGTTCATGATAAGAATGAAGAAGTAAAAGAGGAGGTGCAGACATTAGAAGTGGAAGATGATGTTGATGAAGAAGAAGAGGACGAGGAGGATGAGGACGACGACGATGATGGAGACGGCGATCATGACGATGATGAGCACGATAACGATGAAGACCACCATGATGAACACGATGATGATTAAAACGTCGAATGGAAAGATGGCGACGGAGAACACCACAGCTGGAAGAACAGAAAAAAGGGCAATAAGGCCAAGTCCAAATGTAAAGCACCATAAAAAAACGCAAAGAACAATAGCAAGCAAGTTCGTGTCTCACTACACCATGCTTACAGAAAAAATGTAGCTAACTCAAACAACTGAAGAGTTAATAGTAAGTATGACTCCCTTTACTTGCTAACAACCCCGAGGTGGTAGACATGCTCAAGAATTTTGAGAAAGACATGAATCCCCTTTCTGTCAGATGTGTAAAAATTTGCAAGGCAGCACATCGATGCATTCCACTATAGTACCACCAATCACGTACCGCTTAATCTCGTTAATTGCTTACTAGAAAAATGCCTACGTTGATGAGAAGGCGTCCCATAAAATATCCTTTACGAAGTAAATACGTAGAAAATTATCCTCAAAATGACGGAATTCCGCAACATTTTCACCTCAATGGTAAAGGTTCTTATTAATTAAATGGCTACCAACCACTCCGCAGCAGAGGACCTCGCAGGAGAAGCACAACAAGTGGCTGACGAAAAGGGGTAAATAATCTTCCCCTATGTGAAAAGGACTTTTCTGTTCATTTTCACTCCATTTTTAGTTTCATTTTTCCTTGTGCGCCATTTAGAAGTAACAATTCTGTCATTAAAAGTGCATAACAATGATGTACCCCTTCCACTATTGTCCCTTTCACGGGGCACAATCCTACACCTCTTCTTCTTTACCCTTACCAAAATTACAAATTAACGTTCGTCATTTTTTATTTCCATTTTTTTTGGAACAATTTTAACAAAACACTGGCATAACTCCACTTAAAAAATACAATTTTTTAACCCATTCGTGTATGTGCCAAAAGAACTACTTCGACTAAATTTTCCTGGCACGGAGGAACACGGATCGAGAGGAACTTGCTGTGCATAATTTGCCATGCCGAAGGGACTATACGAAGGCAAAAAAGAAAAAAGAAAAAAAAAGAAAACTTCCGCATCTGCCATCTATACCTTTAAATATCTGCATAGTCTATCTGCCACGTAAGAGGGTCTTATGACAAGCCTTCATCGTCACTCCTTTTCCGTTTGCTAGACAATGGTAGATGGTGGGGGGGTGAGCCAAACGAGGGTGGTCCATCTTTCACGCGGTTCTCCCTCCCTCTGCCGCTTCATACATAACAGAATTTCCATTTCTTTCAAGGGGGAATAAAGTCTCCACTAATCAAAGCACCAAAGGCGAAATTAACAAAAAAGAGAAACGTCATGGTTTTATTCAAATGGAAGGGGCACATGGAAACAGCACCGTTTTGGTGTACATACAAGGGTTGTCCCCCCTTCCTCCTCTTTGGCGAAGCTTCAGCGCTGTATGGAATGCCCTTACTCTTGTGGGGGTTCCTAACTGGAAGTTGGTAAGTTAATGGCGTAAATATACATGGCCACTTTCTGTTGGTACTCTCTACTCTCCAATGAAGAACATAAGCTAAAAGGTAATCAAGCAATTTTTCACGAAGTACATCATCTCTGCGCGTGAGAGTAGGGTGATAATAATAAGGACTTTTTTATTTTTTTTTTTTTCCCTTCCTAGCTACTTTTATGCGTATGGAGCAAACTACGCGGAGGTCACCACGTGGAAGTAATCTTTTGGGCACAACTTTACAAATCCAAGGCGACGGGGCAACCCCAATATTCGGGATAGCACTTACATAAATATGGCACAATATAGCGCATACATATTTATATGGCGTACTCGTACCGAGGCAATATATACCCCCCGTCGTCGCAAATTTGCGCTTCCCTTTCCTTGTGCGGCAAATAAAGAGTGGTGCTTAGATTCGCGTCACGAGAAATAGGTTTTTCTTCGCCTCATCATTTATGTAACTCCAAACTTACCAGAACTATTCAAGCTCCGCTCCGCCTTTTTTATTACTTCTTGAAAACGTAAAATAAAAAAGAAATTGCACTCAGATAAAAAAAAAAAAAAAAAAATATCAACAAATTTTCTATAGATATGCATGTCAATCTAAACTTGGAGAAATGCCAGAAGTTACGAATCATGGTATATATATATAATATAGTATAACTCTGCAATTTGACCCATCTTAGTTCTGTTAAAGGGAAACCGCTTCTTCCTTTTTGTCACATCGCGTGATACTTAAACCGTTCTACATTAGGCTACACTGAACGGTGGCACAGACAGTACAGTCGAGGTAACCAGAAAAAAACAAACCGAAAAAAAAAAACAAAAAAGAAAATACAGAGACTCATATCCCTTCACCCCCGTTCCACACGCGTTAACATCTCCGCCTATTAAATTATTATTCCTTCACGTAGTTTACCTCCACACCTGATTATTGTGGGATTCACTTTAAAAATTTTCAATTTCTTTTTTTTATAAACAAAACTCCAAGATGCGTCCCCCCTTGGGTGTATTCTTCTGCTTCCTTTTTTTATCCCTCCACTCAAGGGGGGACGCGTCCAAAGTGGTCAATGACGTGGAAAATGGCCAAAATGGGAAGGGTGGTAACGGTAGTGATGGTGACGATGGCATTGAAAAGCGCCACTGCGACAATGTTTCTAAACTCAATTTAAGAGGCGACGTCTCCGCGGAAGAAGACGGTGCTGATAACGATGACGCCCACGATGGGCACGGTGATAGTAAACGTAGCCCCGCTTATGCTTTAGAAAACTCGCAGCACAGTGACTCCTTAGAGGAGCTCCTCCAAGCCGAACTTAAACAGGGTGACCTGAGCGAGGAGGCACCCGAAACAACCAAAGCAGCCGAAACAGCCGAACCAAGAACCCTCGAACTCACACATATGGCACTTCCCCAAGAAGACGATGACGAATTAGCAGCGCCATTGGAAGATGGTACAAGCAACCAAATTGAAGAGTGTAAAAATAGCCTACACGTGGAAAGTATCACCCCCAGTGGGTCGCAACCATCCGATGCGGAAGGGGAGGAAGAAAGACAAGAAGAGAAGCTCGTAGTTCATGACGAAGATGGAGGAGCGGGTTACGAAGGAGAAGATTACGACGGAGCAGACTACGCAAAGGCAACATACGCAATGGCAAACTACGCAGATGTAGAACCGGACGTAGCGCCACAAACTGACGATGAGATGACCCACACCTCCATAGATGCTTCGCCCAGTAATGCTCAACCCACAGAGGTAGGTGTAGAAGACTTCGCGGACATGACAAAAAATATCCAATCAGCACAAGATTCTCTGAAAGAACTGATCAACATAATTGATAACGATGAAGAAGCCTCCGGGGGTGTTGGTGATATAATGAAGGATATAATTTACCTGCTCCTTCAAGTGTAAAAAAGGGAAGGGAGAAGCACTTGCCCTTGTTTCAGCGATCATTCAGAATGCGAATGTGAGGATGCCACTTGTTTAAGAAAAAAGACTCCTCCGGATCAGCGTCATGGTACAGTTCCATGCCTCGACGAAGGATAATCACTCCGCCCAACGTAAACAGGAACATGTCTAAGTTACAAATCAGATTACCATAAAAAAAAAAGGCGAACTTGGGTAACTCTTTTGTGTGATACTTTAATGAGCTCATTTTTAGCTTACTAATTTATGCATTTATTTTTTGAAGGGGTACATCAATTTGACTGGAAAGGAAAAAAACACAAGTGGGGGGAATAGATTTTTCTAGGGTTAAATCTTAAATATGCAAAACGCACTTTGGGGATAACTAAACAAATGGCTTATTAACAAAATTTTGTGCTTTTTTCGCCCCTCTTTCTACGAATGAAAGGGGACCCCCGAAGCCGTGTAAACCGCAGTGACGCCTAATGACCATAATTACACAGAGCAGCAAAAAGCGCACATATATCACTACTAGGGCGATTACGTTGCGTCTGGCTAACTAGGGGCTTCACGTATCCGTATCCCTACATGTGCATAGAAAAAATAACGTACAGAGAGGAGCTTACTCCCATATGTTAGCTACCCCACCCTCCCCTTTGTGGTAAAGAAACTAAGATTTTTTCTTCCTTGTTTTTGTTTTTTTTGTATTTTTAGTTATTTTTTTTGGTTTTTTTCTGATGCCTTCACCCTTTCACTCGTTCGCTAATGGTGTCTACAATTAACCTTTTTTTGAATGTCATGATTTCTTCGTTTCTTTGTCTTTTTTCTTATCTTTTTTTTTTTTTTGGTTGTTCATTTTTTTTTAATTTTTTCTGACCCCATTTGTGCCTTTTTAATTAACCCCCACTGTCTGAATTTTCACCTATCCAGTGCAAATAAGCACACTATACTACCCTATCTGGATAATTTAATGCTGATTTTTTTTTTGTAAAATTGATGAAGGAGTGTACAATAATTATGCGTGATGCATGCATTCCATAGGAGCTGTTACATTACATAAGGAATACAGGTGTGCATCATCTCCTTGGTATTCCTAAGCAGTCGCCCTGGACATGTCAACATATCTTCATTTGCGTGATAATTAAACTGTACATAGAAAAAAAAGAAAAACAGAATTGGATTAAAATGAACAGTTTACGATTTCTCCTTTTTAAGAAAAAAAAAAAAAGAAATTCCCTTACGCATGCGTAGTTAATATTTAAGGCTGCTCAAAATCAGCAAAAAAAAAAAAAAAATAAAATAGAATGTAGCGCATATATTGCTGCAACAAATGCCTAGTTTCTGTTACATGTAGAGAGAGAGGAAAGGAAGAAAAGACGGCTAACAAATATCAGCCCATATGTGACTGTTTCTACTGACTAAATTAAGCCTCCCAGGGGAAGGAAAATACAATTGCACGTCTGTAACAGGACTACGTTTGTATAGGTATACCTCCATATTGCCATACATCTGCATAGGACCACCCGTGAGAATAGTGAAGCTTCTTAAGATTTCCCCGCACCATATTGCTGCTACCTTCCCAGCTACGATGTTTTCCATTCCTTCTTGACGGAGGACCTACGTTACCCTGCTCAGTCAGTTCGATACTTCGAATTAGGGGTTGCACACTCCACCGCCTGTGCAGTAAATCTGGCATGTACACGTGTGCAGAAGCTGCAACGCGAGTAACCTTCCCCCATCGATATGCAGCCGTCTCCACATAAACTAACCCAATTAGAAGGGCACCTTCCTTGCTAGTCATTCTTTTTAAGGGCAAAGAATGAAGTGTATTATCACGGCGGCCCTATGCATCCTATTCCTATATTTGCTTATAGGTTATGTCAATGCCAAAGATGATGAAACGACTAACCGCAAAATGAGCAGTAACGCAAGGGACATATCTTCAGGGGAAGTACCCTAACCAGATCAGAGAAATGCCTCACGAGCAGATCGAAAATACGAACATCGTGATGAAAGAGATCAGCAGGTTGAGCCAGCCAAAAAAGTGAACATCGAAGGTGTGGAAAACCAGGAGAATGAAGCAGAACAGCTGACTGACCCATCCACCCCAGAGGAGGCGGATTCCCAAATGGCGAATGCCCCGTCGGGGAGACGCAAGACAAACAAGACGAAAGGATGGTGGCAGAAGATTTGAAAGGAAAACAAAAGGACGCATCCGCATAGGAAGAAGCAGCTCTAGATGAAACAGTCGCACAGATTGATCGGGAAGAGACCAAAGAAGAAAAACCATCAGAACCGTCAGAGGACGAAGCAGCGATAGGCTCCAACGCGGAATCCGAAGCGGATAAGGACGAAACCGAACATCAAGACACGAACGACAGGGACGACACGGACGATGAACACGATGACGATGATGATGATCAGGAGGAGGAAGATAAAGCGCAAGAGGAACAAAAGAAGCCGAAAAAGCAGCCAAGGAAGAAAAAGACGCTCCCCCAAATGGCACGCAAGCTCATAAGGGGGGTTGTCAAGGTTGCCCTGATATAGCAAAACATTCTAAATGAACGAAAAAGTCCATGAAGGACTCCATGAAGCTAATCGAAGAAGACAAAGAACTTGAAAATGGAGTCAGTGACCTTACCAAAATGATGGCTCCCTTGTTTTTACAATTATAAAAGTCGGAAAAAAGAATTGAAAAGCAGGTTTTATTGTACATTGGAAATTTACTTGTAAAGTAAAAACCTTCTGCAAATTTTGCGCTGAAAAAGTTCCCTATATCTGGGATACCTGTACATCCAACATTTCTTCACGTCGAAGCGGCCAAAATTGTACAGATGGACTTTTTTGAAAATGAAACCGTTTAATGTTGCCTGTTCGGAAATGACTCCTTTTTTAATGTCCATCATTTCGGGGGGGCTGCCTAATTAGCATGCCTCCAAAGGGAGAGGGAATGTAAAAGGAATCGTGGCAAAATGGCGAAATGGCAAAACGGAAAAGCGAACAACGTAGAAATAAAAAAAAATCACACAGTGACAACAAAAAGGACGGAAAAAACAGCCATCATAACTTATCAATTCCCGGGGGAAAGACAAAAAAAGGAAAAAAAAATTCATAAACTTGTCATGAATTAAAACTTCAAAAAAGAGAAAGAGGTTTTTAGAAGAATGGACCTTCAATGGGAAAAAAAAGAAAACACACCGAAAAGTACACAGGTCACTTCATCAAACTGTTAAAGAAAATCACCACCTTCTGATAACAGCGCAGCTTTTAAAAACTTGAAATGCTCGGGTAGCCGAAGTTTCACCATAGCAACGAAGCAACAAAAGTCTTCAAAGACGAATAGTACGTCGCGTGGACAACAAACATATTCTCTCATCATCTTCGTTGTTCAAATGTACGCTCTCCTTGCCATGTAGTCACCATGTGCCGTTTTTTGTCTACCTTTTTTCACGATTTTGCAAAACATCCATTCCAGCTTCGATCACGTTCTCTTTCTGTTTTCATGTCACCCTTTACACGAAAAAGTATGGGAAAAAAAAAAAACGAACAAGAACAAACTTTTAAAACGACTCCAGGATACACAAAAAAAAAAAGGAAAAACATCTTGTAACAACATCCCGTCCTCTTTTTTTTGTTGAATTTTTTTTCTTTAGTCTAGATTTTTCTTCGCTAACCCAAATCAAATTTACGCCTTGCTCGGAATGTTAATATGCATGTCTTTACCAAGCGAGTGGGAACCCAGAGAAAGGGGGTCACGGTTGCGCGTGCGTTTGTGTTCGTGTTTTCGTGTGTATAAGTACTACGTATATTTTATTGAGCATCATATACTGCGTTCAGTTACGTGGCTTGTGTGTGTTCCGCGAGATGCTTGGCCTTTTTTTCTTTTTTTTTTATTTTCTCGTGATTTAATTTCTTTTCTTTTCCATTCGTTTGGTATCTTAAAAAAGCATTTTACCCTTTTTTTTTTTTGAAATATTTATAATTAAAAACCAACAACATTATACTAAATAAATCGTTTGGGGTAGCACAATAATGAAAAAAAGGGGAAGAAGGAAAAAAAAAAGAAAAAACATGTGAGGAAAATGAGAAATGTTACTGACTAAATGTTTCTATTAATTATATATGAGAACCGCAAGGGAAAAAATAATTAAAAAAAAGGGGAGAGAAAAACGCAACTGATTAGGTGCAGCTGGCAAAAAACGTCGTTAACAAAGCGTCATTGGCCAAACGTACCTGGCGAACTGTGGAGGGAAAAGCGCGACGGGCGAGGCGTAACCACCCAAACGCAACCCGCACAGTACAGCAACACGCGTGAATGAAGACTTGAGACTCTCATCTTACTAACGGCAGTTATGAATTCACTTTTGCATATATACTCGAAAATTGAAATTATGCTTTTGGAAAACGCCCTACTTAATAAAATGTAAACGTCTTGGTTGTTCTATAAAATGGGGGGAAGCAATTCAGAAGGAGACGTTTAAAGGGAAGGGGATCACTAGAAGTTACATGGCAACCGCTTCGGCGCATCCTTTCACGTACACATATACATGCATAATCTCACAACACAGGGTGTATATAACCCCTTCGCGTGAAACAGGTAACAGCCACGACACTGAGCCCCATCTCAGGTAACTCACAGTGTCTCCCTCCATAGAGAGGAACTTCGCTGGGGACGCTTGTCTGTTCATCGATTGGCCCGCCCGCTCCATTAGCCCAGGACCCAGGAAGGAGGGAACCGCTTAACTTGACTCCTCATCTTGGCTATTCACAGACTCCCTTCTGTTGCTATGCTCATCATTCCTCTCTTCGCTCTCGCGCGAATCCTTATCGTTATCATTAACGTTGTCATTGTCGTTGTCATTGTTGTCGTCATTTTTTTTTTCTGCCTCCTCCTTGTCCGTATTAAAAGATATAGATTTAGAAGCATGTTTCTTTTTTGAATGCTTACTAGAATTTCTAGTTTCATCACTATATTCATCATTACTATCATATTTGGATTTATAATTATCCTTTCTGTCATGTCTACTCCTACGTTCATACTTATCGTCCCCAGCACCTCCCGCCCCTCTATTCACTCTTCTACTGCTACTTCGGTAGTATTTATCATACCTTCTTTTTTCTTTATATCTCGGGCTTTCATTCCTGTAATCTCTGGATCGTCTACTCCTACTAAAACTTCGGTCGTAATCCTTATTTCGATATTTATTGTAGCTACTTTTAGGGTAATAGCTTTTTTTATCCCTATAACTTTCCATCCTTCTGTCGTAGCTGTCTCTATCCCTGAACCTTTCCCTTGATCTATCATCTCTCCTTCTTATTTTATCTCTAGAATAGGATCTGTATCTAGAATTCGATTTAGAAATGTATCTTTTTCGGATTTTATAATCTGAATATTTTCTATATGGATATGGTCCTGGTGGGATTCCTCCTCCCTTTTCCTTATATCTCATAAGTCTTGGATCTGACCTCCCCTTTTGGGCTACAAAAACTTCTATTCTATTTCCATCTATCTCCGACCCGTTCATTTCCTTTAGTGCTTGCTCGGCATCTTTGGGGTCGTAAAATTCCACAAATCCGAAACCTCTCGGTTCCTTGGTGTAGTAGTCTATCGGTAGGTACACATCTTTGATGGCTCCAAATCTTTTAAATTTTTCTCGTACCATTGATGGCGACGTGTCATACTTGAGCTTCCTGATAAGCAGGGACATGGGTTGGTTCCTCTGGTGCATGTAGGGGCCCATCTTGGGTGCGCTAGTACGTTCGTGCGTGTGTTCTTGTGTGTGTTCGAGCGTCGTCAGGGCTGGTGTGGAGTATGCCGCGTGGTATTCTTCGTGGTTTTGGATCTACTGGGGTGTGCTACTTCTGGCCTATTCTGACCAACCTTAGCCCACTTTTCTTAGTTCCGTCGACACACTTCTTCGCTACGCTTTTATTCACTGCCAACCTACTACCTTCCCTGGAAAACACTTCCCAACTGGAGTGGAATTCTCTGGAGATGTCCGCGCGATCGTTGCAACGCCTGTGGCATTTAAACAGCGTCTCGACTTTCCCGTCGAGTTAAATACGTACTACGGGGGTGCGCGATGATGACCTTGGTGACGTGTGCTTCTCTGCTATATTCTACACTGCTATGTGACATGATATGCGCTAGCACATCATGATGCACAGTTCCGTTACGCACTGAAGCATACAAAAGAGGCGCGCTCCACGGACTGCTCTCTTTACACAAACGTGTATCCCTACGTGCTATATATATGTGTGCATATATAAGGGTATATGTGTAAATATACAAAAACGTTAAATGGAGGACATGCGGAGAGTCAAACGAGGGTTAACTCGAGGGCGGATCTGCGCAGATGCGGGGTTCTGGAAAACGGGAGCCTCCTGTTGGTTTGGGCGATTCAGCTAGTTTACCTGTCCTTCTGTTGAACATAAGATGGGCTTGTCAGCTACTCCCTCGAGGCACACGTGCTCAGAGGGGCTTATGTGTGCTGTTACATATCCATACGCATGTCCGCACACGTAGGTACTTGCTTACCCAGGCGCATCGGTGCCCTATGCATATGGATAGATGTACATACGGGCATGTACATATACAAACGCATATACACATATAAACGTACCCTCCATGCCCGCGTCACAAACGCTGGTAGAACACGGAACCCACCACAAAAAATTAAAAACAGCTTTACAACTGAATTAAGAAATTAAAGGGGCGTATGCATGGAGGGTCGGTGTAAGAAAGGCTCAGAGAAGGTACACAAAACATACATATAAATAATAAATGTACATACGTATACGCATATAAATCCGCGTACCTGTGCGTATACTTCACATTTTCGCAACTTCACATATATAGATATATACACAAGTGCCTATGAACACATGGGGGATATACATACGAAAGTTCGACAAGATAAACACGCGCGGGGGGATATGTATGTACGTATATATCTGTACGTATATATATCTGTATGCATATATCTGTACGCATATATTTGTACGTGTATATATGTGATGGGGGGGCTGGGGGGCGTACTCACTCTGGGGAGAGAGATGCCTTTTTAAAATTTTAAAAAATTAAAAACTCTGCTAGTATCTACTAAACTTGTTTTTTTTTTTTTTATTTTTTTTCTTCAAACATTTCGAGATTTTTTTTATAGAGGAATAAACAGTAATTGAATAAAAAAAAAAAAAACTGAACACGCAAAAAACTAAATCGACAGGTGAAGGATTTAATTTTATGGCAAGGCGTGGGGCTTAAAAGTGAACAAAATTGTGAAGAAAAAAAAGTGAAGTTAAATTTGTAGGAGAGAAAAAGCGAATTATTACATGGGAAGTAAATGCGACATAAACGCACAAAAAACACAAAAAAACGCAAAGGGGGGAGAAACACGAAAAAAACACCGCGAAAGAGGGAAGAGAAAGAGTGAAGTGAAAGCGAAAAGTATAACGGAAGTGACGCAAACAGGAAGAGAAGCAAAGTGCAAAGAGGTGACACCGGACGCTGCAAAGCGACGCGGAGGCGGGGCCAAAGCGGGGCAAAG